TCTGCCGCTGTTGTTCTGAAAGTCATGCGCCCCGCACAAACACCGCGCCGTCGTAATCTTTGAGGCATTAATCTGCCGCGCAAACAGTCCCAACTTTTCTGGAAGGGCTTTCCGTGCCGTTTCTGAGCAGGCTGAAGCAAGCGAGCTGCAGAGGATTTGCGTCCATTCAGCCTCAGATTATTCCCTCCGCAGCACAAAGTAAAAAAAAAAAAAAATGTACACATGCAAAATGTTTGCCAGGATTAGAGGACACTTGGAGTTGAGAGGCTCCGCGGTTGTTTTGTTGTTGTTGTTGTTTTCGTGGCCACCGAATGCAAAAACACATCTTATTTGTTTTCACGTTCCGTACAGAACGGCCGTTCGGGAGACAATACGAAGGCTGGCGTCATCCGTTGAGTTTTGACTCATTTCATGCCAACCGTTTTCTCTCAAAGTGGGAGGACCGCTGCCAGCCGTTTTTGACCGTTTTGAATCATTTGTTCAGAGAATTGAATTGTGGAGGTGTCGAAGCACGGAAGCTACCGAAAAAAAGAGCCTGAACCCTCCTCTTCTTTCTTCACGAGAAAAAAAAAAGTACATTTGACCTTTTACCATTCCAGTTGAACATTGCTAAGTTTCTTGAAAAAACTCGTTTCCGAGACAAATTCAGAGAAAAAGAGCTTTTTGTGAACCGATCCTTTTCAAGCGGAACTTTCACTTTGATGCCGTTTTTTTTTTTCTTTTGCGTTTGTGGTACCTCCAATACCTAAAGAGTGCTTTCCTACTAACAACCTCAACAACACAAAACAGATTGCCCAATAACAGTGCATTGCAAGAAAAACACCTCACCGATGCGTCAACTTTTCATGAGCGTTGAACTTTGTCCATGTTCTCCCCACCACACTGTTTTCGCACGTCGCCTCGCCACGTGGGATCGCCGTACTGTAGAGCCAAACACACACACACACACACACACACACACACACACGATGTACAGACCAAGATCTGATCAAAGCCATTCCTGCCATCTGATGGTGATTTATCATTTGGAAATCATTCCCATAACCTTGATACTTGTTTATTTTTGGAATTTGAATTTGAAAAACACCAAAACGTCAAGTACGTGATAGGCTTTTTGTAAACATTTCACATTTTGGCAATCGAGTTAAAAGCATTTTCATTTGATTTGATTTTGTTCGTGCAGATGTTTTCTTCATTTGTAGCTCTTACGTTCGTTTTCATCAAAATATAAGAACCTTGATTCCAAGACACCCAAAACATCTCCCTCGTTTCGATGTTGATGACCAATATAGAACCAGCAAGAAGACTACGCCGGACTGGATGCGGAGGTGTCCATGTTGGCCTCCTCGCTAACCTCGCCGCATCCATATTCATGCGTGTGGAAGCAGCGGCGAGATGTGGAACATCTCTGTGTCTCATTTGCATCCGATAAATAAATAAGGCGGCCCAATCAAGTGTACCGTGTGACCGTCTGTCTGTCTGTCTGTCTGTGTGTGTGTGTGTGTGTGTGTGTGTGTGTGTGTGTGTGTGTGTGTGTGTGTGTGAGAGATATGGCCCCGAGCTGGTTAAAATTGCATGACGGTAGGCGGACTTGTATGCAGACGAGAGTTGGGATTGGTCCAGTCAGGTGTTTTTTTTTTTTTTTTTTTTTTTACGTGAGGAGACAACAGTGTGCGCCAAAGAGAGAGAGGAACAAGAAATGCTGCACATGGGGGGGGGGGCCCTCCCCCTCCCCCTCCCCCTCCTCCTCCTCCTCCGCCGCTGCCACCGCCCTCCACACAATAATGAATTTCAAATAAGTTGTTCTCTTCAGGAGTAAGTGGCAGCCACTCCTTAAAGCTGCTTTGTCCAGATAATTGAGTTTCCAAAAGTTTGGAGGATGAGGAACCTCAAGAGAAGTGGAGGACGAGGCGGAGGAGGGCAGCAGGCTACCGGCTTTATTTATGCCTTGATTGAGCCCCGCGTGTTCGTGCGAGGGCATCGCGACGATTGCTTCCGTTCACGTCGGAATTGGCGCCGGGGCGCGAGCTGCCTTCACGCACTGCGGACGCGCGCACCCGTCCGGCAGTGCGGGAAAGATGAAATGTTTCACGTCTTGCGTGCGGGCTTCATCGCCGGCGCCCGGTCCGGCCCGGCCCGGCCTGCCGCGATCAGCGAGCGAGCGAGCGCCAAGGCGACGCGGACTCAATGAGATGCATTAGTGGCGGGATTTGAATTGACAATGTCATTTGCCGCCGCTTGGTCTTTTTCTTCTTCTCCCGAAGGGTCGGCGAACAGCGGGAGACTGAAGCCGCCCCCCCCCCCAAAACAAAGCCGACAGCGTGGGTAATTTGTTTTGAAGCCGGTTTTCCGCCAAAGTCCAACTGTTGTTCGCAAGCCGACGAGTTCAATACGACCAAAAGACAAAACTCTTTGCCCGCGTTTTACCGCAAAACTTTCCAAATGTTTAGCGTTCTTGCGCTAACATAGGACAGGAATAAACAAAAACAAAAAAAATGCTTTCGAATACACCCCAGCCATGTTTTAGTAGCATTTACACGGCTTCATTTTTTTAAAAAGGCCTTTCGATGCTCCGAAAACGTATTTTGGTTTTATTTACTGCTCATGTCTGCAGCCAAACTTCGAGGAGAGCCACTGGCACAAACGTTTGACTCTCGGTCATTTGACTTCCTGTTTTGACCCTTGGCGGAAAACGGCGATCGCTTGACATCACAAATAAATCAATACATCTCTCATCTCAAGCTCGTGAGCCAAGGCGCAAGTCGCCGCCGTGTAAATGTCATCGTGCGAGCGCCTGCCGTTGCCGCACGTCCGCGGCATGTGACCGCTTCGATGTTGGCGGAGGTGAGCCGGATCGGTCTGACAGGTGAGGTGCGACAACACGCCTCTCCGCCGTTTCCACGGACGTCTTGACAGCGTTGGCCTTGGGCCTGGATCCTCCTTTCCCAGCAAAATTGAGCGACATGAGCTCAAAGGGGTAATTGGCCTCCCTCGCCTCTTGTTTAGCGCCTGATTGTACGTTCTTGAGCGTGCGAAACCCAAACCTGGCCATTGTGCACGACGGGTCGAGAGCGAGACGCCAGTCGGCTCCGCGCAGACGTGCAACGAAGTCGCCTCTGCGTCCAAATCCTCACGTTGACGTCAAGCGTACTCGCCCCCTGTGATGATTGCGCACGGTTGAAAGCGCACACTCTCAGCACAACTTTGTGTTTGGTGGAGGCGTGCGTCTCCCGATCTGATTCAGATTGACAGGATGCTTAGGAGGCTTGCTGCTCACTGTAATTACACGCACTTGAGAAATGTCGCCTCTGTGCGTCGAGGAGGAGGGTGTAATCAACGCTCGCTCCCTCTCTCGCTCTCCATCTCTCACACACACACACCTGACATTCTTGCAAAGATTAGAACACACCTTTTTGTTGCTTTGGAATCCAATGAAGGGCACCATGAAAATCAGACGTACATGCGAAGGAAAACCTTGCCCTCACCAACCCTAACCGGAATGGTAATCCTTACCCTAACCCTAACCCTTCCTCTAACCCAATCCTAAACTTTACGCTAACCCCAAACCCTAACCAATCCTAACCCTTACCCAACCCTAACCCAACCATCACCCTTACCGAACCCTAACCCTAATCCTAACCCTTACCCAACTAACCCAAACCCTTACCCTAAGCAACCCTAAGCCTTACCCAACCCTTACCCTACCCTAACCCTTACTCGAACCCTCACCCTAACCAACCCTCAACCTTCCCCAACCCGAACGCTAATCCGAACCCTCACCCTAACCTAAGGCAACCCTCACCCTAACTCAACCCAACCCTAACCTTAAGCCTGAGTCCTAACCGCAACCCTAAATCTGAGCAAACCCTAATCACTTCCGGTCATATTTTATTTTTTCACAACATACGGCGTCGACACGAGGCGGTCGTGTCCGGACGTGTGAACTTCTGCTGTCAGACAGGCAGCAGCTAGCAAACCCAAACCACTTATGCACCCGTGCGCGCGCACGCGCGCAAATAGCTGCGAGTGTTCAGAGCACGCACAAAGTGTGAGCAACAGCCATGCTCGGCTCGGGAATAACATTACATCCCTGCAGGCAAAATGTTAAGCGCAAGTGGAAGTGACAGAAGGAGAAGTGATTGACGGACTTGACCTTTTTGCAGAATCCGACCGTAAATTTCATCCGCAATTTCCGTACTTGATCGGCTGCGGCGCAACGTGAGCGTCAGAAAGCGGAGGCCACGACACGTGCGCGGAATGCCGTTTGAGTGACATTTGGCCCTTCAAAGTGCAGCGAGCAAGCCGTCTCCAGCTCCCATTTCCAATATGGTTTGTTTTAGCACATCGTCGCTGTCGGGTGGAAACGTATGTCCAAATATGGTCAATTTCATTTTTTTTTTCCCCACAAGTTGAAACGATCATGGGGGGGAGGGGGGTTGCACATTATTAACCAATTGAAAGTGTCAATGGAAATAGCTCGACAATCTCCTCCTGCTGATGTTCATTTCTTTCCTCGTGTGTCTTTTCATGGTGCTCCGCATCGTGACCGATAAGCATTCGGGAGGAACGCGCTTCGTCAAACAAAGACTCGAGCGCAGGCGACAACCTTTGGGATCGTTTGAGAAAAATGGCGGTTGCTGTTTTCTGACACCCAAGCAGGGCAACGCCAAAGGGGGGGCCACGGGTCTCGAAGGCATGGGGGTCTCTTACCGTGCAACACGGGGGGCGTCAGCGAGTCGTCTCCACGGAAAAGAGTGAGACTGTGTGTGTGTGTGTGTGTGTGTGTGTGTGTGTGTGTGTGTGTGTGTGTGTGTGTGTGTGTTTGTGTGTGTGTGTCTCTCTGGGGTGTCGCGATGCATCAGAGCACAGGCCAAACATTCCCCAGGCAGCCTGACCACGTAGTGCTTTTCGATGTTTTAATCTAGGACACGTGTGTGTGTGTGTGTGTGTGTGTGTGTGTGTGTGTGTGTGTGTCTGATGGCATCCAACTGTGACAAAAGGTGAATAAAGGAAATACACTAACACTGTATGCCATTGCACCCTCCAAAGCATCTGCAAGGTATGTTTGCCAACCATCCAGCCGCACCAATGCAAACTGTCCAACAGCGCCGACAACTCCGCTGAACAAAACAGGACTGTGAAAAATGCTCCCCATGACGGGCACGCAAAACACAAGCGCCTCGGGGCTGTCCAGCGGCCACAGTCAAATTCCTCCCAGTCAAAATCGGGCCGGCTCACGCGTACTGCCGAGAAGGCGCAACCACCAAGCGAAGAGTCTTCCCCTTGGACGACTGTCGTGGCCAAAACGCTGAGAACTGTCCACAACAGGTCCACACCAAAGACAACAAACACCATGTGACAAAAACAACATTCAAGGTTTTTTGTTGTTGTTTTTTGAACATATTGATTGACAAGTATGGGCATTTTTAGGCCATGGAAACAACAAAGCCAATCCAAATTTTCAACGTGACGCAAAAAGGGCAGACTTTGCATAAAACAAGTCCCTTGATCTGCTAAAGGATGTCTTCTTCAAATAAGAGAAGCAGCCACTTTGTGTAATTGCTTATTATAAGCGGAGCGGGGGGCCTCACTTCTGGAAGGATCACGCCGATAAGATGCTTGCACGCTGCTTCAAGGACGTCGGCAGCGGCCGCCACCGCCGTCTCAGAAGAAGTCGACGGAACGGTAATTGGTTCGAGATCAACGGAGCTGCAATTAATTTACTTTGAGAGCCGGACAAGAGGGGGACGGAGTAATCACAAAAGCAATAAGGCCGAGGAAATGTGATGCAACGCCGCCACGGGGGCCGAGGCGGCATGTCCGCGCGGCTCGCCGCCATCCCGTTGCCACGGAATTGAAAAAGCACAACAGCGGCGCTCGGTCCGGCCGCGTCCCTCGACTTAATCGTTCGACCGGGGCGCCGTTTAATGCAGGAGGAGGCCCTGGCTTTTAAAAACTATTTAAAAAGAAGCCATGCAAATCACAGTGGTGCGCAAAATGAAAACACTTCCGACAACAGCGCCCTGCGGGACGCCCGGGAGGCGCTCGGGAATGCGCGGACCGCGGGGTGCTGTATAATGACCGCGGCCCCCGGACGGCGAGGTACACGCTTGTTATGCTAAAAGGCGAGAGCCGTCGCTTCGGGCCAGCGGGAGGGCAGGCGCTCGCATAAACACGGGGAGGGGACGCAACGCTGGACCTTAATAAGCTCGCGCAAATGGCCGCCGCAAAGGCGCTGACGAGAATCAAGACAAAGGCCTCCGCCCCTGAGTTTTGGGATCTTTTTTTTTTTTTTTTTTTTGAAAGTGGCTTCAAGACGCTTCACTCAGTTTGGATTGAGACTGAGTGAATGGCATGTAAAAATGCCACGCGGTGTGTCACGGCGCGGCGAGTCAACGGGATGTGCCGCCATGGTGTCGAGAACGGCTTCGCTTCCATGAAATTCGCACCACTCATAAAAGGTGTCATGTTGCCAATGACGATAATGAGCGGGGCTCGACGTTCTCGGCCTGCTCCAGGAGAGCGCTCCGATGTGAGACGCGGCCTTTTGTCTTCCACGCCTCACATTGTTTCGCGAGGTCGTCGGAGGCGCGGCCTTTGAGGAGGGAGCCGCACATTTACCATTAGCTGACAAGTCGCCGCTGGAAAAGGATACACTTAGCCCATTAAAGATTGGCCGATTTTTCTTTCCCCCTCCCCGTTTTCTCCGCCGTGACATTTGAGAGTCCCCGCCAAAGTCGAGTATCCAGCCCACCCCCGCCCCCCCCCGTTCACACGGCCTCCACTTAGGCCAGGTAGGGAGAGCGCCGCTGCCATCGCCGCATTACAAATGGACTTCATTCACCAAGGTGAAGTGTGCCACGCCGATAAATGCACTTGCTTGAATGTCAGCAAATGTCAGCGCGGAAGCCATTTGCCGCCACTTGAACAGCCTCTCCCCGGCCACACGCTGATTGCAGGAAGGAGGAGGCGGAGTTTGCGACGCACCTGGATAGAACTAAGACGAAGGCCGGCTCATTTCCGCATGCTTGAGCAATCGAGCCACCTGAGACGTTTTCGCAAAAACACACGAGCTGCCAACGACGACATAATCCTTGCCTTTTCTCCTTCCCCGCTCAGGAAGGAAGGAGGAGTATGCCATCCGATATTTACGGCCACAATGGCCTGTCACGCAAACATTCTGATGTTGGTTGTCACTTTCCGGATGTTAGCGCCTTGCGAACACAAAAGTCGGCTTGCCCGACGTTCATTCCAAAGAGAGGGAGCGGCCTTGGGAAAAGGCTCCCTCCCCTCTGACCTTAGTTCTCGGGACCCGGAGTGGTGTCCGGTCGCCAGCGAGCAGGTGCGGAGGAGCTCTTTTGGAAATGAAGGGATGCCAAAGGAGGAGAGATTTGCTCCATCTTACGAGTCGCAGTCAAAAGGCGAGCGGCGGCGTTTTGGACCAACTGGAGACGGAGGATGGGCTGACTCCAAAGTCAAGCGCGTTACAGCCATCCGGCCGTGATGTGACGAAGGCATGAATGACGGTTTCAAAGTGCTCGAGAGGTTTTACTTTAGCCGGCTGCCGTCGATGAAAGAAGCTGGATTGGACAACGGCACCGATTTGACGGTCCCGATTCAAATCAACTGTCCCGTTGAAGACCCAAGTTCCAGACTGATGCCATTTTATGCAAAACTGCAACTGATGATGACTGATTTTGGATGGGACGGACAAGGGCCACTGGGACCACACGCCAACACTTAAGGATGAATTGTACTCAAAAAATAAAAGAAAATAAAAAACTACAACTAAAAAAACATTTCAGTTCACAAAATAACAGTGAGAGTGCTTTAAAAAAAAAAAACAACTGAAACCAGATTGTACATTTATAAAACGAACAAAAAATAACCACCGATCTTTGTCAATTCATTTCTGAAATGGGCTTTTGTGATTTGTTTCAAATGTAGTCATGTTGACTTTATGAGAGAGAGAGACTTATTGTGACGGCTCCGATAACGACACAGAAGCGAGTTGAAGAGAATACAAGTCTGTCACTGTCAGAGCCAAAATGAAAATGAGTTTCCAGCACCAACTTGTTTTGGAGATGATTTTGTGTGCATGCTTGCGTGGACCTTTTTTTGCGTTGAAGTTCTCGTGGTGAATCTTCTGAGCATCGCCAGCCTGGTCGATTTGGACTCGGCTTCATCCGCTTTCATTCCAAATTGTCAAAGCGGCAAAACGCCGGGAAGGATGAGCGGGGAGCGTTTTGACGCCCGCCGTCTTGAGCACGTCGACGGAAGACAACGCGGATTCCATTGAAGCTCTTTCTTTTCATGAACGCATTTGGTCTCAGGTGATACGCGACGTGCGGCGGAATATTCAGAGAACAAGTGAATCGGTCGTTGCGCTAATCCTCCATGAAAAACGTGTTCCGTGGAAACAAACAAACAAAAAGAAAAAAAAGCGATTAGGGCATCCGGTGTCAAAAAAGAAACCACTTACCTGCACCAAAGGTAATTTGTAACCTTAGCAACCGCTTGTGAAAATTGAATGGGGGATTAGAAACGGCTGGAAACAAGACACACACACACACACACATATACGTGTGTGTGTATGTATAAATGTGTGTGTGTGTGTGTGTGTGTGTGTGTGTGTGTGTGTGTGTGTGTGTGTGTGTGAGTGAAATTTTGTATGGAAAAAAAAAGTTAGATTTATTTACATACACATATATATATACTGTATATGTGTGTGTGTATATATATATATATATATATATATATATATATATATACACTGTATATGCAGAAATGGTCTGACTTCAAATCATTCTGGAGGAGAAAAGTTACACACGGACACCAAAAGGACAAGTGATGTTGATAAATATATATATTTTATTTCAATCATGATTAAAAGAATCGCAACATAATTTAATTTCATTCACCAACGGTCCATTTTGGCTGTACAAGAAGGTGTGTGTGTGTGTGTGTGTGTGTGTGGTCACACAGCGAACAGTGCGTCTTCCCCGCTGTCGG